AACCCAGGTAAGGTGGTTTGGTTTACCCTGCTCATTGGTTCGTTTGGGCGCTGGTTGCAGGTCGGGTCGGTGTTCTTGGATGAAGCTGACGAGGTCGTCGTCCCAGCGCTTGCGCTGGCCGCCGTGGCGTCTCCAGTCACGTTGGCGTGAGTTCTCTCGTGGTTGCCAGTGGAGTGCTCGCCACGTCCAGGGGTGCTCTCGCAGAGTCCGCAGGCCTCGGAGCCAGCAGCGAGGCCCCGGGAGGGAAGCTACCCCCTCCTGCGGCGTCAGGACGGCGGAGCGGCCCCCAGATGCCGAGACCCATTATTCCCCGGGACCGGTCTTTCATCCTGGGTCCCTGGGTCGTTAGCTGCCGGTGCCGAGGCCAGGCAGGAGCCCCCCCCCCCAGAAGCCGAAACTAGCAGCAGCAGCAGCAGCAACAACAACAAAACCTCCAGTCGCGACGTTGCCACGACCTGCGGGGGTGCGGAAGCGCCGCACTTCCCGATGGGCGGCCGTGGGCCCGTCGGGCGGCGGCGGGGCCAGCGAGCGGGCCGAAGAGCGGCCTCGAGGGCGGCCTTCCAGGGCTTCGAGGTGCCACGGGCCTCGGAGGAGTGGCGCGGGGGCCCGGTGCTCGCTGACGGGGTGGCCACAGCAAGCGCGGGGTGGAGACCCGTGCCTGGCAGGTTCGTGTCGAGTCGAGCTGGGCGCTGGTGCCTCACACCGCGGGGCGTTCAGCCTCGAAGGGTCGGCCGTTTCCGAAACGTCCGACCGTTCGACGTCGGCCGATTCTGGGTCGCTGGCGGCGTTCAACGTCGGACGCAGGCGGCGGGGTCGCCGCTGGTCGACACGACGCGAACCCGCCGCAGCTTCCCTGCACCTTTGGGGCCCGCGGTGGCAGTTCAGGTCGGTGGTTCAAGGATGGGGTCCTGGAGGGAAGAGGGCCCGAGGATAGGAAGGACTCCGAGGGTGGATTTACGTTGTCTGAGGCACCTCGTGCCCCGGAGCCGATGGGCGTCGAGGGCGCCGATGGGGGCGGGCTTCGGTGGTCGAGCCCTGCGCGCAAATAAATGGGAGTGCGAAACTTGGGGGGGGGGGGAGCGCCCTACTCGGGCCCGAAAGGCCCCCCTTTGGGGCCCTAAAGCTCCCAGGGCAGGGCGACGCAAGGGGCTCCTTCTCGGCAGCCCTTCGGGGCCACGCGTCCTCCCCGAGAGCCGCGGGCAGACGGCGACTCCAGGAGCGCATGCAGGACGGGTCAGTGCGGACGGCAGGGAGAACGCCTCGGGCAGCCTCACGGCTGAGCCCGACGCCGCAGCCTGCGGCGGCTGCTCGAAGGAGGGCGACGCCCCGAGAGAGGGATAGAGAGGGAGAGAGAAAGAGAGAGAGAGAGAGGGAGAGAAACAGCAGGGTACACGCGTACTCTAACGTACCAACAGGACCAAGGAACCGCCCACCAGATAGGCCCACTCTTCCCCTTTACCCACCTTCCCTCATGGGCCTCTTGGCGGGTTCGAGTATCAATGCAACGACTTGTAGACAATCCTTGCCCGTGGAGCCCAAGCCGGCGAAGCTGGTTTTACTTTGCCCTTCGCGCTGTCGACGCTGGCGTGCTGTTGTGCATACACTCACGCATGCGATCTGCAACTGGTGCGCCGTCTAGGCACGGTTCAGTTGACTTGACCCCATTCCCTGGCCGTCCTCTTCACATCTCCTAGAAGATCTGCACCCCTCCCCGAGCGGAGGGCCTGTTGGTGTCCAGGTCTACCCACTGCCGCACCCACGGCAGCGCCAGCGCGCGGGTCACGAGGAAGGCCACGTTGCTGCCCATCGTGACCTCGGGTGGGGCGACACTTGGGGGAGGGCAGGACAGGGGCAGGGGGGAGGGACATGAGGAGAGGGGGCGGAGAGAGGTGGCCAGTGAGCACCCCCCTCCACTAATGTTCCCCTTTTTTTTCTCCGCGAAGCCCGCCCGACCGAGCCGCTGCCCCTCAAGGGGGCGATCTCCCCGAACCCGCGCGACGGACAACCTCCCAGCAAAGACCTCTGTGAGGCCAGCGTGCTATCACGGCGCGAACGGCCAGAGGTGACGCGCGCAAGGCCGCTACCATTCCCCGCCTGCTATCCCATCCCCTCCCCGCCTCCCCATGCCCTCCCATCCCCCCGCCATCCCCCACCTCCCTCCCCCCGTGCCGTGCCTCCCCCCTTCCGCGTCCCTCCCCGTCGACCCCCCCCCCCCCCTTTCCCTTTTCCTAGAAGGCAAACCAACTAAACACCAACACCGATCCTGTCCAGGATCACCCTTGGCCCAGGATCGTGTACATGCCTTCTTGCCCCAAGGTGGCAGGAGGGCGCATACACCGATCCTGGGCCCAAGGTGATCCTGGCCAGGATCGGTGTTGGTGTATAGTTGGTGCCCTCCGATTTCCGTGCCTGCCCCCGCCCGCCGCCGCCGCCGCCGCCCGCGAGCGATCTGCTGGGCGCGCTCTGAGCCCGTGGCCGAGGGGCCCTCGCGCCCGACCGGGTAGCCGGAGGCGTTGGCCAGGAGCACGGCGCAGGCGCGCACCAGCTGCGGGCCGGGGAAGGGCGGTGCAACCCCCCCTCCCCATGAAACATGCTCCTCCTCCTCCTCCTCCTCCTCCTCCTCCTCCTCCTCCTCCTCCTCCTCCCTCCTCCTCTTCCTCCACCTCCTCCTTCCCCTCTTTCCTCCTCCTCCTCCTCCTCCTCTTCTCCTCCTCCTCCTCCTCCTCCCTCTTCTCACTCCTCCTCCTCATTCTCTCCTCCTCCTCCTCCTCCTCCTCCTCCTCCGCCTCCTCCCCATTCAACATGCTCCTACTCCTCCTCCTCTTTCTCCTCCTCCTCCTCCTCCTCCTCCTCTTCCTCCTCCTCCTCCTCCTCCTCCTCCTCTTCCTCCTCCTCCTCCCTTTCAGACTCCTCATGCTCCTCTTCGTTTTTCCGCCTTGGCCAAAGATAAATCAACACCCAGATTTGCGGAGGGGGAGCTGTATTATCCAGGGGCACGGGGTTACTTGCCAGGCGGGCCCCAGGGAAGGGGCAGTGGCCATCGACCTTTCCCTTGTCAAAGGGGCAGGGCCCACGTGGCCGCAAACCCCGTGGGCTGGGAGGTGCCCCTGGAGAGAAACTCCTGGCGTGGGCGGCGCCGCTCCACCACGGCAGGCCGCCTGCTGCCCCGCTTGGGGCGGACGCCCTGCCGGCCCCCGCCTGCCCCGACGCGGGCCGCGGGGCGCCCTGCGCGTCCCGCCTGTTCCTCCCGATCTCGGCCCCTTCTGCACCATCCCGCCCTCGCTTTGCACCCACGTTGCCCCGATACGCAACACGCAGCACGTAGCGTATCGATACGGAGCTCAACACGTAGGCTGAAAGCGTAGGTCCGACGCGATGCATTCGCCAAGACGTGGCCCAAGACGTGGAGCCAACACGCAACGTGTTGACACGGACGTCTCGAACACGGGGCGTGTTGCGTTTCAAAACGGGCGTATCGAGGCAACGAAGCTTTGCACTTGTTGCTTCCCTGCTGGCGCAGGTCCCCAGTCCTCCGCGCGCATGGCGCGGATCCTGGGCGAGGCAGTGCGCAAGAGACTCGCGGTGCATTCAAAGGCGCATCGACTTTAGGAGGATTCCAGTTCGACTCGTGCTGGAAGTACGTTTCTTCCTCCCCCTCCGCGCTTCGTTTCTCCATTGTTTCCTCCGCTGGAGGTGCTGAGCCTGTCGAGCCTGGGGGCGTAGTCCGCGCTATTCTCCGTCCTGGTGCGCTTCGGCACTCGGGGGTGTGACCGAGGTCTCTGCGCAAGATCTGGGCTGGAGGCATGGATCCCCTCTCCGCCCCTGCCTCCCCCTTCCCCCTCCCGGCCCCCTCTCGCCCCGGAGACCTCCCCCCCAGACACAATGCAGCACGCACTTTTTACCATGGAGTGGCGCGCGCGCGCGCCAGACAGCGCCAGGGCGCGCAGATGGCGCTGGCTGCGCGTCGCAGTGGTCCTGGCGGCGTACTTTCTCGAGCCTCCCCAAGAAAAACTGCACTGTTCTCGCGCGCCGTCCTCTTCTGCTCTGCTTCTATATACGATATACTTCAGGAACAACCGACCGTAAGTTCGCACCTGGTCATGATGTTTGCGTACAACACGTCGCACAGGGACAGCAACTCGAGGACGGCCAGGCCGACGTTAAGCATGCAAAAACTCCCTGGGTCAAGCATGCAAAAACTGCTCTGCTTCTTCCGCTGCCTTGCCTCCTCTATGCCGCTCCTTCCTTCCCCTTTCGCGCTGGGGCATGGCGCAGCCCGCGGGTGTCAGGGGCCCCGCGCGCCGGGGAGGAGCGGATTGGCTCGGCTGGGCCCCCCATTCTGGGCCCTCGGTACTAAAGGGGGCCTGGGACACACACACACACACACACACACACATACATACATACATACATACAGACAGACAGACAGACAGACAGACATACATACATAGATACATAGATACATAGATACATAGATACATAGATACATAGATACATACATACATACATACATACATACATACATACATACATACATACATACATACATACATACATACATACATACATACATACATACATACATACATACATATATATATATATATATACACACAAATAACAGGATTCCCCACAGTTTCCCACATTGTCTGGTTTTTTGTCTTCCCCCCCACTTCCCATATTTCCCCATAATTTTCGGGGGAATCGACGATTCATTGCGTCTGTGTTTTTTCCCTCCTGAGATACGCTCGGCGGGGCGGGCCGGGCTGGGCCGAAGCATCGCCGGTGCGAAGGACGGTCCGCGCCAGGCGTCTTGAGCGGGGAGGGCCGGCTCTCGTGCCCCTCGGGCCGCCCTGGAGCCCTCGACCCCCGCGGGGCTCTCCCTCCCTCCCCTCCAGGCTGCGCGCTGCGGCAACGGGCTGTGCGGCGTCGGTCAGGCTGGGCCGGGCAGGGGGTCCCCTCGATCCCCCAGGGAGGGTCCTCGCTCCCCTTCCCGAGTGCTGGCCCGCAGTGGCGCTTCGCGCACGCTGTTCTGATGGCGGGGGCCTGGGGGACAAGGCGAAGCCCCAGGCAGTTGAGATGCGGAGTCTCTGCAGGCCCATCCGACTCCTGACGGCCGCTGTCCCCTCTATCGCGGGCTCTCCTGACACGAACGGTGGCCATGGACGCGCCGACCGGGCTAGAATGCTCCTTCAAGAGGGCCTCCTCCGAATTCCCCGGACAGGCTCACAAAAAACCATCCGGTGCGAACGCCGCCTTCTGCGCCACCCCAGCCCGGCCCTTCAGTCAGCCCCCCCCCCAATTATCCCTCTCTCGTCCCCCCGCCTGACCCTGTTTCCCCCCCCCTTTTACATGCAATTTATCGACCCCCTCCTCAGCCTCCTCGTCCTCATCCCGGCACGTCGACGCCGCGGCTGTACATCACCCCCCCCTTCGGCCACGTGAGGGGTGCCCCCCACTCACCGAACCAACTCCCCTACGGCTTCTGGCAATGGCGGCTCACGCATGCCGTAACATGATACAGCCTCCTCCTCCGCCTCCTCACCCTCCTCCTCATCCTCATCATCTTCACCCTCCTTGTGCGCACCCTTCTCCTCCTCCAGCATTTCCTCTATCCTCCACTTTCCTTTGTGCTGCCATCCTTCGCGTATCTCTACCGCGGGCAGTCGGCACCTCCACCTCATCATCCTCATCCTGTCTTCCGCCCCCTCCGACTGTTCCTCCTCCTCTTCCTCCTCCTTCTCCTCCTTCTCCTCCTCTTCCTCCTCCTCCTCTTCCCCTTCCTCGTCCTCCCCCCCGCGCTCGTGCGCAGGAGAGGGGACGGGGACATAAGAGGAGGGGGAAAGTGGCGAGGAGGAAGAGCGAAGGAGGTGAGGGGGAAGGAGGGGGGAGAGGTGAGAGGAGGACAGGAGGAGAGGAGAGGAGAGGAAAGGAGAGGAGAGGATAGACGGGAGAAAGAGGGGGGGAGAGAGGGAGGGGGCGCCAGGTTCTGCAGGGTAAAGAAGCCCGGCAGCTTGCTGCCGTTCAGCCAGCCCTTGTTCTCCGGGGCCCCGGAGCCGCCTGGGGGGGGGAGGCGAAAGAGGGAGGGACAGAGACAGCGGGGAGAGCGAGGGAGGGAGAAGAGCGAAAGAGGGAGAGCGAAGACGAGAGAAAGAGAGAGAGAGCGAAAGAGGTGGAGGCGGCGAAGCATAAGGACGGGGAGGGCGAGGAGGGGCGGGAGGACGAGAAGACGAGGGGGGGAAGAGGCCGTGGCGGACGAAACGGGACGCAGTGAAATGACAGCTGCACTCCGCCGGTCTTCCCGTCGTTTCGCGGAGCTGGGTGCGGCCATGCAGTTATCCACCAGTAACGCCGCAGATTCCTTGCTCATTCTCTGACTGACCCTCCCTCTCCCGTTCCCCTTCCCTCCCACCTGCTGATGCTGCCGCTCCTCCGAGGTGCCACTCCACGTAAGATGCTGCGACCTCTCAACCGCGCGTGTCCTCCCTCGCGCTGCATGCCCGCGTGCCCGCTTGCTGACTACCTACCAGACCACCCCAACCCAACCCGAGGACACGAATTTCGGGTTGGGGGGGTAAGGGTTCCACATGTGTTTTTTCGATGTTTCCCGACCCCCCCCCCACTGGAAATCGAGGGTAAATCTGAGCCTTCGGGTTGGGTTGGGGTGGTTTGGTGGGTGGTGACTTGCACCATCATGGTGGCCAGGCTTCGTGTTACAGGAGTCACCACGCGGTGCGGTGCGAAGGGCGACTCCTTCTCGGATGCCGCCTCCCCCTCCGCCTCCTGCCCCTCCCTCCTTCGCCTGCCCTTCGCCCGTCACTCGTCCTCCCCTGCGCTGCTCGGACGGGCGTGCGTGCCGCGCCACTGGCCTGGCACAAAAAAAAAGCCTCGGCCCAGCACAGCGCACCCGCCAGGCACCCCCCGTGCCTCCAGTCGGGGGCGTGCAGCGTAGGAGGAGGGTTCGCAAGTCATGGCCCGTGGTAGTTACGTGCGCGGCTCAGGGGGAGCATTGAAAGAAGAGGAGGGGGCCGTGAAATCCAGAGAGACATCACGGCCCTGGCGAGGGCGACTCCGGCGATGACAGCCACGACAACGACGACAACAACGACGACGACGACGACGACAACCACCTCGACGACGGTCGCGGCGACGGCAATGACGACGACGGCGCCCATAACGACCATGACAACGACGAACCACAACGAAAACGGCAACGACGGCGACGGCGACGCCGGCGACGACGACGACGACGACAACGAGCGGCGGCGGGCGGCGACGACGATGAGCGGCGGCAGCGGCGGCGGTGACGACGACGAGCGGCGCGCGGGCGGCGCAGGCCCGCAGCCGAGGCCGCCCGCGGGCGGGCCGCGCCCGCTCGCCCGCCCGCGGCCCCGCGGGCCGCCGCGGCGCTGCAGCGCGGCGGCCGCGCACGGGCCGGGCGCCGTGGCTGTCGGGCTCCGCGGGCAGCAGCCGCCGCGCGCACCGGGCCAGGGAGGGCTCCCGCGCAGGGCCGGGGCAGACAGTGCACCCGTACACTAAGGGCGCAGGATGGAGGCCGCAGGGGCCGTGGGAGGCCGTGTGGACATGCTGCGGGCGGGCGGGGCACGGCCAGCGAGAGCGGCCACGGATGGGCCGAATGGGAAGGACGCCAGGACAACCGTGGACAGTCGTTCATCCTCACTGTGCGTGTTGGCTGTAGACCCGTCGTGCCGCTGCCGCGTTGCCGCGTCGCGACCCGCGCGGCAGCCTGGGGCGCGGCCGGTGTGGTCGACCGCCCGCGGCCGCGTGGCAAGTGAAGGCGTCCAGCATGCGGTCCGGGAGCTACAGACCCTCGTGGCGCCGCGCGTCCAGACAGGGGCCCCCGCATGGGAGAACTCTGGCGCGAAGGCCCCCGTGGGAGACCTCCGGCACGAACACGTCTCGACGCACACGCCCTCATCCCTGGACAGTGATGTCCGCGCGCGCCTGCACTGGTAGTTATAATGGCAAAGGTTGCGGGAGAGACTGCGCCTGCACTGCGCAGCGTGGTCTCCACGCGGGCCCAGCAGGCTCGCCAGAAGCCTCGCTGGTGGACGCCTGCTCGCTGTGATTCCTGCTGCTGCTGCTCGTGCTGCTGCTGGTTCTTCCCATCCTCTCTGCCTCAGTCCCGCCACCTCGATCCCCCCTTCCCTCCTCAACATCTATCCGCCTCCTCCTCCTCCGTCTTCCATGCTCCCACCTCCCTCCTTAACCCATCATCTCTCATCCTTCATCCCGCATCTTGCATACATCACCTTCCTCCTCCTCCTCCTCCTCCTCCTCCTCCTCCTCCTCCTCCTCCTCCTCCTCCTCCTCCTCCTCCTACCTCCACCCTCCTCCTCCTCCTCCTCCTCCTCCTCCTCCTCCTCCTCCTCCTCCTCCTCCTCCTCCTCCTCCTCCTCCTCCTCCTCCTCCTCCTCCTCCCGTCTCCCGCCTCCTTCGCCTCCTCCTCGCCCTGACGAGGAGGTGCTGCCTGCGGGGCGCGGCCCAGCCGCAGAGAGCGCCCGCAGGCCGCGCGCCGCAGGCCGCCCCCCGACCGCGCCCCCGCGGCGGGCCTGCGCTGGGCGACGTGCAGTGGATGAGGCACGTGGCCAGCGTCGCGAAGCCGGAGCAGATGGCCACCAGGGCCAGCACACCCATGGTCACGCCCGCGGAGTCCACCACGGCCTCGCGAGGGGGGGGGGGCGCGCTGGGGGGGGGGGGGGGGGGGCGCCACCCGCGTGCCACGTGGGGGGCCGCCCGCCGCCCGCTCGCGCGGCGCTGGCTCTCTGCCCCTTGCCCCCCACACAGAAGGCGAAGAGGAGAGAGGAGAGGGAGGGAGACGAGGAGAAGGAGGAGGCGGAGGGCGAGGGAAAGGAGAGGAGAAAAAAGAGGAGGAGAAGGAGGAGGAAGAGGAAGAAAGAGGAGGAGAAGGAGGAGAAGGAGGAGGGCGAGGCCAAGGAAAGAGAGCAGGACGAGGTGAAGAGAGAGGATGCCATTGGGCGGTTCGGCCATTTGCCATGTCACGGGGCCATGCAGCGCAAAGCGGACGCAGCACGATAACACCTTTGTTTTTCGTCTCAGTTGCCTGTCCAGAGTGGTGTTGCGAGCGGCGGCTGCAAACTAAGCGTAGCTCTGAATCGGCATGCGAAGAAAGCGCACCCTCGCTTCACCCCACACAGTCGCAAGGAGATTATTGCTCTCTCCGCTCCCACCGCGCCGGCACCGGCCGTCGTCCCATCTTCCGTCGACCCTGCCCCCTCGCATCCCCTCGCCCTGGGCCCCTCCCCGCCGGAGCGGCGCGCCTGCCTTGCCCGTCCAAGGGGGGCGCATCCCGTCACCCTCAGAGGGGTTCTGGCTTTGGGGGGCATCTCGTGGAGCTTCCTCAATGGGAGCGCGGAGCGGGCGGCAAGCGGCGCCCGCCGTGAAGGCACCCCTCGCGGAGGCGCCCGCGCCCCTCATCAGCACGGGGGGGAGCTGGGGGGAGGTGCGGAGAGGCGGGGGCGAGGGAGGCGCAGGAGGGGGAGAGGGAAGGCTTGAAGTGCAGCTGCCCACTGCGAGCATGAGGGTGTCAGTGAAGCATGAAGCATCTGAAGGCATGAGGCACGCATGTCCACCATCTATACATATATATATATATATATATATATGTATGAAGCCTCTGTGCACGCATAGGCATCAGTAAAGCAATAAGCATCTGTATTAGGTATGCATGTCCACATGCATTTGGCATCAGGGAAGCACGAAGCATATGTAGATGCAACCCTACAGGTGCATCATGCGAACATGCGCATGGCTGCACAATACATATATATATATATATATATATATATGTATTTGCATACGTGTGTACAGACGCTAGATACGTGAACGCATCATAACTGTATGTGTGTATGCATACGCTCCAGAAGTACGCGGGCACGCCAAAGTTCCGGCGCAACAAATGGCGCTGTCACGACACACAATTTCACCTGAGGGTCGCACGATCCGCTTTTCGTACATGCGTAGCTTGTTTCCTCCTTATCGGAAATTACTGGAGGCATACCTCTTGCCAGGTGGGACTCAGGAGGGAGGAAGGCTCGCGGTCCCCGGCACCGCCCAGCCCTCGTAGAAATTGTAAGTGCAGAGCCGAACAATCATCATAACACACAATCAGTGCATACTCCTCGTCAGATGGAAGGATGAGGAAAGGCCCACAGAACATTTGGGGCTGGATTCGGGTGAAGGAGGGCAGTCATAGGGGGGGCCTTCGAACTGTCCAGAGCTGGTCTTGGTGGATATTGGATACGAAGGTGGTGCTGCTTGGTATATGGGTTTCCAAAGGATATTCCTGTATTGTCCGACGGGAGTCTTGGGGCTCCTGAGGAAGCGTCTGGGCAGCTTTGGGGGGCTCGTGGGAGCCTTCTTGGCGGAACCTCTTGGGGCGTTCTTGGGACCTCTTCGGATCTGTATTGGTGCGTCTTGGAGTTCTGGTGTGGGCATCTTGGGAGTCTTGGCGCTCTCTTGGGGCGCCTTGAGGCGACTCTACTGGACCCTTCTGGAGGCTCTCTTGGGACGTCTGAAGCGCTCCAAAAAAATCGGAGGGAGAAGCGCAGCACGGCCAAAAAGCAATGATGACCAACCACGGGGAAGAGGGAGGAGACGGAGGAGGAAGAGCAGCAGGGAGGGAGGATGAGGCGGAGGAGAGGGAGGAGGCGGAGAGGGGAAGACGGCGCGGAGTGGGAGGGGGAGAACGATACGCACAGAATGCAGTGGCACACCCGCCACTCCGGGTGCCCTCATCTTGCCCCGGGGGGCCTGCATGGTGTCGAACTTCCACTCCACGAGGAATCTGAGCCCAGGGGGATCAGAAAGGCACGGCGAACCAAGGGCGGAAGGATGAGAATAAGGGTTCCGTCTGCCCCTCCTCCTCCTCCTCCTCCTCCTCCTCCTCCGCGTCCTCCTCCTCCTCCTCCTCCTCCTCTCCCTGTTCCTCCTCCTCCTCCTCCTCCTCCTCCTCCTCCTCCTCCTCCTCTCCTCATCATCATCATCATCATCAACACCATCATCATCATTTTTAGCATCATCAACATCGTCGTCGTCGTCGTCATCATCATCATGATCATCATGATCATCACCATCATCCTCATCATCATCACCATCATCATCATCAGCATCATCATCATCATCAACTTCTTCATCATCATCATCATCAGCATCATCATCATCAACATCATAATCACCACCACCATCATGATCATCATCAGTATCATCATCATCATCATCATCATCATCATCATCATTATCATCATCACCATCACCAGCATCATGACCACCACCACCATCGTCATCATCATCATCATCACCATCGTCATCATCATCATCGTCATCGTCATCGTCATCGTCATCAGCATCAGCATCATCATCATCGTCGTAATCATCATCATCATCAGTATCGTAATCATCATCGTCAGTATCGTCATCATCATCGCCACCAGCAACATCATCATCATCCTCCTCATCCCCCGTTTCATCATCATCATCATCAGCATCATCATCATCATCATCATCATCATCACCATCACCAGCACCATCCTCATCATCATCAGCAGCATCATCATCATCATCGTTCTCCTCGTTATCGTCATCACCACTTTTGCATCGACAACCGCATCAGCTTCAGCATCACCAGCGTCAGCATCAGCATCAACATCATCATCAGCATCCTCATCCTCATCATCGTACTCGCCATCATTACCATCATCAACACCACCATCGTCATCGTCGCCAGCCATCAGAATCATCATCAGCATCATCACCAGCGTCAGCATCCGCATCATCATCATAATCATCAGCATCATCATCATGATCATAACCAGAGACATCATCGTCAGCAGCACCAGCAGCATCGTCCTGATCGTCATAACCAGCATCACCAGCATCAAAATCACAATAAACAACACCATCATCCACACCACCATCATCATCATTATCAGTATCAGCATCAGCATCATCATCATCATCATCATCATCATCATCATCATCATCATCATCATCATCGCCATCACCATCATAATCCGTATACGTATCATCATCAGCAGCATCATCATTACCAGCATCATCGTCATCATCAGCAGCACCGTCATCATCATCAAAACCACCATCATCAGCATACTCATCAGCATCGTCAGCATGGTCATCATCATCATCATCATCACCACCATCATCAGCATCATCATCATCATCAGACGCAGCATCATCGTCATCGCTTCTGTCGTCGTCATCGTCATCACTAGCATCACCAACAGCATCATCACCGTCATCATCAACATCTCAAGTATCATGAACCTCATCATACTCAACGTCATCATCACCATCCGCATCATCATGAGCATCCTCGTCACCTTTCTCATTGTCACCATCAGCATCAGCACCAACATGAGCACCATCATCATCACCATAGTACCATCCTCATCAGAATCGTCGTCATCATCACCATCAACATCTCCGTAACCATCACAATCATCACCATCAGCAGCACCAGCATCAGCATCAGCATCAGTATCATCATCAGCATCGTCATCATTATTATCATCATCGTCATCATAAGGATCATCATCAGCATCGTAGACGTCATCAGTATCACCATAGTCATCATCATCACCATCATCAACAGCATCACCATCACCATCACCCTCACCATTGTCATCATCATCATCATGATCAGCATCATCATCATCATCATCATCATCATCATCATCAGCATCGTCAACATCATCAACAGCATGATCATGATCAGCATCAGCATCATCATCATCCCTCCCCCTCCTTCCTTGTGACCCTCCACTGCCTCCCACATGACTCCTCCCCCTCTTTTTCCCCGCTCTCAAGAACTGCGTGTATCCTCCTCCACCCCCTCCCCTTCCCCCCCCACTCCCGACTCCATCATCCCGGTATCCTGCCACCCATCCTTTCCCGCTCCCTCGACATCCCCGTCCTTCTCCTCCTCCTCCTCCTCCTCCTCCTCCTCGTTCTCCTCCTCCTCCTCCTCCTCATCCTACCCCTGCTCCTCCTCCAACTCCTCATAATCGTCCTCCTCCCCATTATCGTCCTCATCATCTTCCTTCTTGGACCTTGCAGCAAGCAGCCGTGTCCATAAGGCACGGAGGCACGAACGAATAATGGATATGTTCAAAAGATGCATACTCGCCCTGAAAAGCTGGATGTCCCCGCGACGTGCTCGCGTTTACCTGCGACGTGTCTGCAACGGCAGACTGCACACGGTATCATACTGATGAGCTGATTGGAACATGGAGCCTGCATTATCGGGAAACAAGGCTCGAACGCAGCACGCAATGGGAAGCCACAAGGTACCAATACCTCTACTCCCCAGACCTCTCGTGGGTTGCGTTCTGACCAAGATTTCTAGGCGAACCCAGCGGTGGCGACGAGGGCCACCCAGGAGGGGCAAGGTACCGATACCTCTACTCCCCGGACCTCTCCTGGGGTGCGTTCTGACCAAGGTGACGAGGCGAAGACAGCTGTGGCGACGAGGGCCACCCAGGAGGCCCGAAAAAGGGAAAACGGGGCAAGGGTAGCGGTATTAGAAGAAGAAGAAGACGAAAACACATAAACATAAACTTTTGGCGCTCCGCGCGGATTTCTTGGATTTGCGCTGGACCCCCCTCCATGGCGCGCGGAGCGCGCCAGGGGCGGCGACGGAGGCGCCGCCATGGGGGCCCAGGCCCGGATCCAAGAAATCCGCGCGGATTGTGTTTATGTTTTTTTTTCTGATTCGAGGTATGGGTACCCTTTCCCTCCTCTATCTCCCGAGATGTGCGGCCCCAGTGCAGCACGCATTCCCGGAGTTCTGGGAGGTCCTGCCCGACGCGCCACCCCCAGGTGTCACGGCGCTCCTCCGCAGCGGGGTCCCCCACTGCCCGCTCCTGCTGCTTCGCCCCCTTCTCCCCCGCCTGCACTCTCGTAGGTTTTGCCAAGGGGGCCGTGCAGACGGAACAAAGCTCCTTTCTGGCCCCTGCCGCGCCCGCACGCAAGAGCCCCAGGGATACACCCGTGGGGGGAGTCTGGGAACATCCAACCCTCTTCGACCAGTCTTACAGTAGGAGCTCGACCACAAGAAACCTTCCACAAGAAACCCAAGAAACCCACGTCACACCTTCAGCTAGAAGGGTGTTCCTTGGCGCAGGCTCCCACCGTAGACCAGATGCGTGAATGCACTCCTCAAACTCTCCAGCCGCCCTTGGGACAGGCGCCCACGACAGCGAAACAGGTAATATATCATACTCCAGATTTCGTAGTTAAAGGCAGACCCTCCCAGACGGGAAGTTTTAGACCCCCCAGACTATCCATCAAAGGGCGGCCCTTTGCCCAGACCCCCCCGAACCCTCCAAGACAGCTCAAATTAGACCCCCCCCCCACGAATGTGACCCCCCACACTTTGAGATGGAATCCGGAGTACCTCCCTTCGCCCGCCAGACTCCGCCGGCGGGGGGCCTGACGAGCCAGATCGTCATAAAGTTCAGGATGGCCATGATGAGGGCGGTGAGCACCTGCCGAGCCCCGCCCGCCCATGGCGGAGGCCGGAGAGGGCCGCGGGAGGGGAGGCTCGGGCGGGCAGGAGAGGCAGGACAGGAGGGAGGAGGAGGGAGGAGGCTGGAAGGAGTTAAGGGGGGCAGAAGAGCAAGACGATGAGCAACTCCATGGAATGGGGTGAAGAACAGTGATGAGGCGAGATACGTGTAAATGTATGTATGTATATATATATATATATATATATTATATATATATATATATATATAGAATGTATATATATATATATGTATATATGTATATATGTGTGTGTAAAGATAGGAAGACAGAGAGAGAGAGGGGGAGGGGCAGGATAGACACAGGGAGAGAGATCGCGTGCGAGGGTGTGAGAAAGCCAGAGAGAGAGAGAGAGAGAGAGAGAAAAAGAGAAAGAGAGAGAGAGAGAGAGAGAACAACAAAAAAAGAAAGAGGCAGGCGGTCCAAGGGGGGGGATGTCGGGATGAGGGGAGCTCCCTGTGGAGGCACGAAGCGTGTGAGGGGTGTGCCGACATGACATGTAGGAAATGAGCGGAGTGTACTCAAGTCGCCTCGTATTCCATGTACTGAGCAGTGTATGCTCTGTAACGAGGCCCGGGCCCGAACTGCCGGAGTTACTGCGGTGCGCCGCTTGACTTTTCCCCAGGCCCGAGAGCCCCGAGACGGCCCAACGGGGTGCCAAGAGGGGCTGAAGACAGGCCAAGAGGCCCCCAGACAGCCCAAGAGGGCCCCAATATGGTACAACATGCTCTCAAGACGGCCCAAGCGGCCCTGAGCACGCCCCAAGAAGGCCTCGACGGGACCCCCGAGAGGGCTACCGCGGCACTCGCGCCTTTAAGCTTCAGGGCCCGAAGGCGGCCCAAGAGGCCCCAGAGGCCCCCAAGAGCGCCCCAAGACGGTCCAAGGCGGCCCTGAGACGCAACAAGCCCCCGAAATAGCCATAGCCCCAAGAGGGGTAGAAAGCGAAGGCGTCGGGGGAACAGTTCCTCCAAATATTGGCCCAAAGAACGCCAACATGCCCCCAAGAGGACCCCAGAGGCCCCTTAAGAGGACCCCAGGAGGGCCCCTAAGAGGCCATCAAAAGGCCGCCACGATGCTCCCGAGAGGCTCCCAAGAGGCCACATAAGGGATTCAAGAGGCCTCTTGTCCACGACCCAGGAACGGTGGCGGGATGGGCCGAAGGCGACTAGACCCGCCGCCTCCTTCTGCTTGCCGAGGGGTGAGCGGCGTGCCGAATCTTCAACTGGCCCTCTGGGCCCTTCCAAATGGTTCCCAGTGGCCTCCAGCACGTCCCGTTGGCCACGAATCTCAAGCAAGTACTCCTTCTCCTGTTCCTCCCTCAGATCCCCACTGTCTTCCTCCGAAGTGTTTCCCCAACTGTTTCTACGACGGCTTGAGGAGCACGGGAACACATGGCCCAATGCCTTGGCAAGGCTTCGGCCAACGGTTTTGGCCATGTGGGGGTTTTCCACAGGCAGGGGAAGGCGCTGGCTCGCCACAGGCGTCCTGGACATTCAACACATCACGTGCAATTACGGTCGCGTTCGTTCGCCACCTCAATGCTTCGAGCGGTCATGCCAGTCCATGCGTGCGCGGTCGCCCTGGGTCAAGGCCCAACTGTGAGTCCTCCGCAGACTGGTCGTCCGAGCGAGTGTGAGCTGATGGGCCTGTTTTCCACCACCACCACCATAAGCTGGAGGGGGGAAGGAGGTGGAGGAGGAGGAGGAGGAGTAAGCGCTACAGGTGACGTAGCCGAACCCCTTACCACAGCACACCAGGGAGGTGAGAATCTCGACGCGCCTCGATCCGTCGAACCCTGAAGAGATCAGCCTCTATGACAACCGCAGACGGCCCGTGATGGCTGGGGTGCTTGCCCTGATGGTGGTGGTGGTGGTGGAAAACAAGTCCACCATGAGCAGCTCGCCGTCTGCAGGGGGCCGGACAGCCTCGGAGAGTGCACCCGCTCGGGCAGCCCGACTGGCCCGAGACGGCTCCCGCGCACTCACAGAGGGGGCGGCTGCAGCAGGGCCACGCCCCCCGCGAGACTGCGCGCTGAGGCCCTGGGTGATCTGCCTGTTCTCCACCACACCCATAAGCTGGAGGGGGAGGGGGTCCTCCTCCCTCTCCTCCTCCTTCTCCTCCTCCTCCTCCTCCTCCTCCTCCTCCTCCTCATTCTCCACGTCCTTCCCCCCGCCAACTTATGGTGATGGTGGTGGAAGACAGGCCCATCACCCGGGCGGCCCCCGAGAGGCGCCCCGCCCGGCTCCGAGAGCCCGAAATCCGCACATCAAGCGCACGCGTATCTTTCACGACTCTCTCGGAGTGCGCGGCCCGCTCCCCTCCCCCTGGTCTGCGACCGCGCTCTCCCGCTCCTCGCGCCGTTGTGCGCTACAGTCGGACCCGATTGGAGAGGACACGCGAGAGGACACGAGACCCTTCCGAGGGCCACATTGCTGCAGGAATGTAGGAAGCATGGGTCGCGAGGCATAGGCCACAAGGGTACCCTTGACTTGGCAGGGTCGACCTACTAATCCGGGCCGCCTGTAATTCGCCTTCGCGCGCTCCCCTCTGCGCGTGGCGTCGGTTGTCGGGCCATCATTCGGGCCTCAGGCGGCCGTCTGAGAGCGTCCCGAGGCTGGAACACGAGCTCCTCCATCCTCCCCGTCTCTGCGACCGCCTCTTGCCTCTCCTCGCGCCTCTATGCGCACTAACCTTTGCCTTCCTGCGGCCACTCGCTCAGGCTCTGGTCGCGCCGCGCGATCGCCGGGGGGTGCCAATGACCCCAGAGGCGACGACGACGCCGCCGACGCCGACGCCGACGCCGACGCCGACGCCGACGCCGACATCGCCGCCGCCGCCGCAGCCGCCGCCGCCGACAACGACGACGACGACGACGACGACGACGACGACCCCTGGAGGCCTCAGATCAGTCCCTCGACCGCCCCAGCACGGCGCCGAGGAGTGGCACAGAGCCTCCGATGGAAGACGCCGCCGCCATCTCCCGGGCCCACCGTGCTGCTGACCCTGCTCGCGGCTGATCCTCTTCTTCTTGCCTCGCCTCCTGTCCCAATCCCATTCCTCCTCCCTCCTCCTGCTCCTCCTCCTCCTCCTCCTCCTCCTCCTCCTGCTCCTCCTCCTCCCCGTTCCTCCTTTCATGTTTCCTCCCTCCCGCCTCGTTATCTTCCCGCTCCTGCTCCTCACAATGTCCCATATTCCTCCACCTCCCCCCTCCCATCCTCCTCCTGGGCAGTGGGCAGTGGGCGCTGACGGCATTGGTACCTCACGAAAGGGCGCTGCCATCCCCCTCCCCCCGACAGGGGTGGTCGCCCCTGGGGAGCGGGGGTGTTCAAAAAAGGTTATATGTAGCAAGAAGGTAATAAGTGGGAAACCTCCAGGGGGCGGGGCAGGCCCCAGCGGCCCATCCTCCTCCTCCTCCTCCTCCTCCTGCTCCTCCTCCTCCTCCTCCTCCTCATCATCATGATCAGCAGCAACATCATCAACCTCATCAATATCGACAACCTCAATGGCATCAGCATCATCATCACCGTCATCATTACCATCTTCATCACCATCCTCACCAGCATCGCAATCACAACCACCACCATCACCATCACCACCATCACCATCACTATCCTCATCCTCATCCTCGTCATCATCATCCGCCTCCTCCTCCTCACCAACATCATCATCATCAGCATCATCAGCATCATCATCATCATCATCATCATCATCATCATGTTCAGCATCATAAACGTCGTTATCATCATGATCGTCGTTGTCATCATCATCGTCACCATCATCGTCCTCACCCCAACCATCATCATCATCACCATCATCATCAACACCCTCATCAGCATCATCGTAATTATCGTCATGCTCATCCTCATCCTCAGCATACTCGTCATCATCATCATCATCACCATCATCATCAACAACATTATCAGCATCATCATCATCACCACCATCACCATCGTCATCAGCATCAGCATCGTCATCGTCATCAGCAGCATCATCATCATTATCGGCATCGCCATCGTCATCGTACTAATCGTCCTGGTTATCATCGTCATCGTCATCGTCATCGTCATCAGCATCAGCATCAGCATCAGCATCAGCATCAGCATCAGCGTCAGCATCAGCATCAGCAGCATCACCCTCGTCATCATCATCATCATCATCATCATCATCATCATCATCGTCTTCATCGTCTTCATCGTCTTCATCGTCAATGGGCACCCTATCGTCATCTTCATACTCGTCATCATCAGGATCATCACCACAATCATCACGATCATCATCATAATCACCACCATCACCATTATAATAAGCAGCATAGTCAGTATATGTTACCATCAGAATAGAACCATCCTCACAACCACCATCATCAACATCATCAGCATTATCACAACCAACACCATCACCATCATCATTAACATGACCACCATCATCGACATCATCGTGATCATCATCCCCATCACCATCGTCGTCATCCGAATCACCAACATCATCATCAGCGTCATCGGTCGCATTAGCATGATCACCATCACTATCACCACCACCATTACCCGCACAATATCATCAGCATCATCAGCATCATCATCGGCATCATCATCAACATCATCATCATCGTCACCATCCTCATCATCAGCATCAACAAGATCATCAACATGGTCGTCATCAGCATCGTCACCACCATCATCACTACCCCCCACCGTAACCATCAAACACACCATCATATACATCAGCATCACCATCTTTACACTCACTACCATCGTCAACATCCTACTCCGCATCATCATCATCATCACCACTAGCATCACCATCACCATCCTCAATCGTATCGGCATCATCGTCATAATCAGCTTCAGCATCTTTATCATCAACATCTTTATCATCAACAATATCAAGATTACCGTCAGCATCATCATCATCTCGTCGACGCCGTAGTCATCATCATCATTAGCATCATCACCATCACCAACACAACCCCCACCATCATCATCAGTATCATCACCAGCATCATCACAATCATCATCTGCCTAACCAGCCTCATCAGCATCACACTCTCAACCATCACCATCACCATCATCATCACCAACATCACCATCGTCATCACCACCACCACCATCATCATCATCAACATCGCCATCACCATCGTCATCACCATCAACATCAGCATCACCATCGTCATTATCGTCAGCATCATCATCCTCCTCCACCTCATCATCATCATCATCATCATCATCATCATCATCATCATCATCATCAGCATCATCATTGTGATCGTCATCTATATCAGCATCAGCAGCATCAGCAGCAGCATCAACATCAGCCTCAACATCTTCATCATCATCACCATCACCATCATCATGACCATCACCATCATCATCGTCATCGGCATCGTCATCACCATCATCATCATCATCATCCTCAGCATCACCATCCTTATCATCATCAGCATCAACATCAACCTCATCATCATCACCTTCATATTCATCATGATCATCATCATCATCACCATCATCATCATCATCATAATCATCATCAACATCATCATCTTCCCCCCCCCCCCACGCCCCCGCCGTTATGCCCCACATGACCAGGCATGGCAGCCGGTGGGCCGACGGCTCCACCGTGCTGAGCTGCTTCTTGACCATGCGCTTCGACGGCATGGCGTCTGCGGGCATCCCACCAGGATGACGAGGGGGGGAGGGAGCAGAAGGAGGGAAAGGGGAAGGGAGGGAGGAGAGCAAGAGAAAAAGGAAGAGGAGGGCAAGAGTAGGAAGGAGGGAGGGAGGGAGGCGAGGATGAGAGAGGGTGGAGAAGGGAAGGAGGGAAGAGGGGGGAGGAAGTAGGGCAAGGGATGTAGGATGAGGGGGAGGAGGAGGCGAAGGAGGAGGATGATGAGGAGGGCAATAGCAAGAGGAGGAGGACAAGAGGAGGAGGAGGAGGAGGAGGAGGAGGAGGAGGAAGAGGACAGGAGGAGGAGGAGGAGGAGGAGGGAGGGAGGGAGGCAAGGATGGAGACAGGGAGGAGGGAGGAGGGCAAGAGGAGGAGCAGCAGCAGGGGCAACCAGGGTACTGAGGGTACTCATGATGGGGGGTGGGTCTTCACCACTTGGCGCTTGGCCAAAGTTGCAGACTGATCTACGTCTTCGTCCCACTCACCAAGCGGCACTCTCCATGCTACGCCGCCGCTGACTCCTGTTTCAACCCTTCCAAGGGTTGCAAGTGGGGTACTGGCGCATCTCTGCAACTGCACGGCCCGTGGGCTTTGCCGTCCAACATGGCTCCAATCTGCCTCCAGTATGGTGCCACGGCACCCACGAGACGGCCAACCTGCCAACCTGGCCCCAATAGAGCCTATGGTCCCAAAAGCGGGCGCAAGGCGCCCCTGACATGCCCCAAGCTGCTCCAAGAGAACATCCAGGAGGCCCTCAGGAAACCGAACACGCGCAACATGCTGCTCAACATCACGAGTTGTTATTTTCACCCAATCGACCCATGGCTCCAACTCCACGTCGCAATAGTATGAAGACTCGGAGGGAAGGAGGAGGCGGTTGGAGAAGAATGTTAGAGAAAGAGGGAACAGGAGCAGGAGCAGGAGCAGGAGGACAACGACGTCGAGGAGGACGCCCAGGCCCGCCTCGCGGAGGAGGCGGACGGAAAAGGCTGAATGAGAAGAGGGGGGGCGGGGAGGGAGGGAATGAGGCGGAAAAGGAGGAGGAGGAAGAGGAGGCTGAGGAGGAGGAGGCGGAGGAGGAGGAGGAGGCTGAGGATGGGGAGGAGGAGGAGGATGAGGAGGAGGAGGAGGAGGAGGAGGAGGAGCTGAGGAAGGGGGAGGAGGAGGAGGAGGAGGAGGAGGAGGAGGAGGAGAGGAGGAGGAGGAGAGGGGAGGAGGCGGAGGAGGAGGAGGAGGAGGAGGAGGAGGAAGCGGACGACGACGACGACGACGACGACGAGGAGGAGGACGACGACGACGACGACGACGACGACGCCCCTCGCTAACCCGCCTCGCGTGGCCCCGCGCGCGCGCTCGGCGCGGGAGGCAGCGCCGCGAGAGGCGCGCGGCTACGAGCAGGGGGGGGCGGGTGCCCCCTCTATGGGCGGGAGCCCCACGGCCGCCTCTGCTGACGACTGCGGGGAGCGGCGGGGGGAAGAGGGAGGGGCGAGGGGGGGAAGGGCGACCTTGGGGAGGGGCGAGGAGGGAGGGGAAGCACAGGAGAGAGAGGGGAGAGGGCGAGGGGGTGAGGGGGGGCGGCGAGGGGGGAGGGGGCGGGAGGGAACGCGGAGGGGGAGGGGGACAGAGGAAGAGGGAGGAGGGGAGGAGGAAGAGGAGGAGGAGGAGGAGGAGGAGGAGGAGGAGGAGAGAGGAGGAGGAGGAGGAGGAGGAGGAGGGGGAGGAGGAGGAGGAGAGGGGAAAAGGAACGGAAGGAGGGCAAGAGAAGGGGGGAAGAGGACAAGGACGACAGCGAAAAAAACTGGGCGAGGAGGGGATGGGGGATTCAAACATCAACCGCGCACCCCCGTATTTTTCAGCGCGTTTTGTTCGAAAGAGGACATTTGAGGGTAAACGGCGAAGCGAACACCAAAGAGTCGTCCCACGCGTTCGCCAAGTCAGCGGCCTGCAAAACGCAAGGGGGAGGCGGAGAAACAAACCTGCAGAGACGAGCCCATTCGAACATCGCATCGGTGCAACTGCTGAGGTGGCGGCGGAGTAACCAGAGGAGGAGATGGAGGAGGAGGACGACGAGGATGACGACGATGACGACACAAATTGAAGCCACGCCCCCAGAGTCCCAGCGGAGGAGCGGGGGAGTCAAATCGGCAAACAGTTGCTGACTTTGGGTGCCCGCGGCCGCAAAGCCAGGCGCGCCGCACGCACGTCGTCTTGCTGTTGTTTTATCATCCAGCGGGTGGGTGACGGCACTGCAGACAAAATCGAAGCAGGCCACGCTTAGCGTCAGTTCAGCCAGGAAGACAAAAAACTGGTTTCACGCGAGATGGTATATCGACTTTACGCGGTGGCCATCGCCGGCCACCAGCGCGGCACGCCACATTAGAAACGATCGCGCTTACGCGCGACCTTCCCGAACAATTTATGTGCCAATGTCCGTGGAGACGACTCCGCGCTTTTGCGTCGCACAGCGACGGCGAATCGCGTACTGAAAACAACACGTACAGCACGGACGCACGCACCATCGAAAGCACGCGCGCACGCAAACACGCAGACACGCAGGCACGCACGCACGTACGCTCGCACGCACGCGCGCACGCACGCACGCGCACGCGCACATAGACACACGACCACAACAAACACACACACGCACGCACGCACGCACGCACGCACACGCACACGCCCACGCACACGCACACGCACACGCACACATCACACAGCACACAGCACACGCACACGCACACGCACACGCACACGCACACAGCACACGCACGCGCTGTTGGTCGCGGCCTCGCGCACGGCGTCGAGGCGAAGAAAACCAAGTGCAGCGGCCAGGGCCCCAGGGGCAAAGCGCTCAGAAGGAGGGGCGGCGCCATGTTATGCCGTCCGGGCGTGGATGGCGGGGAGAAAGTAAGACGAGGCGACCCACGCGGCCAGCCAGTGGAGAGACCCGCACGGCTGGCAAAGTAGGCGACGTGGGCGGCACCGTACTTTTACAAGCGCGAAGAAACCCTGTGGCCCTGTGGCAGAGGGGGGGTGGGGCATGGGGGAGGCCGCGGCGCCAAATTAATTAGCCCCGCGCCTCCGGCGTGCCTGGGAGCGCGGCCAGGCGGGCGCGCAGGGCCGCGCGCCATGCGCAATGCGCCCTCGTCGCCCAGCGGCCCAGTCAAGAGGAACGCCCCTGCCGGGATTCTTCCCCCTGAAAGTGCAAGGCCCGGCACAAGAGGGGAGGACGAGGAGGGAGAAAGGCACGGCCTTGGAAGCCCCCAAGGACCAAGGGGGCCAACAAAACAACATCCCAAGGAGACCGCATCAGATCACCCCCCTCTCTTCCTCCTCCACAGGTCAGGCCAAGCATCCACCACCTTCTGCTTCAGCAGGTCCGCTCAACGAATACAGCGCCAAACCAGGACGGGCCATAAGAACGCGTCGTTCATTTCTAATCGCGCTAAGTTCTAAGTCTGCGTGTTTCTAGTATTGTTCCTGCCCCCCTGGTGGCCAGGAAGCCGCCTAGGATAGAACAGTTAGAAATGAAAAAGAGATCAGCCCCCCAGAAATTCGAGAACTTTCGAATACTTAGAATGAACCATGTGTAATCAGGCATAATAAACAAAATAACTCAGCGGTGAAGGCCAACAACATGGAAGTCATCCGTCTGAGAGGGGAGATGCCGCAACGCATGGAAAAGGCGGATGGAATCAATACCCACGGGAGGGAAGATGGGCCCTGAACCTTGGATTGTAGACATATATATATATACACATACATACATATACGTGTGTGTGGATATCATGACAAGTGTCACTCGAACCATCCTATATTGAACTAAAGATGTGCTTAACGCGTGTAAAATGTTATAATAACGTTTTCCAACGGGCTTTACATGTTTGAAACGTGTATGAAACATGTTTAGGCACCTGGAAACGATTTGGCAATACGCTCCCTCTTCATTAATCGACTTCCACACGCGCACACATACACATTTATATATATATATATATATATATATATATATGTATACACATACACGCATAGCATGTTCAGGCGCACGTTGAGAATAACAATGCTCAACACAAATGCTGAGCGCGTACTATCCGAGGAAATCCAAGGCTCCGATGGCAGTGGGCGCTCCCAGTTGCCCGCCGACCATGGCCCACGAGGGCATGGCGCGTTGCCGCTATCGTGCCTGCCTGCAAAGCCTCCCTCTGCCCGCTCCAGGAATCCATCAGTTATGATGGGCAAAAGGAGGAGGAGGAGGAGGAGGAGGAGGAGGAGGAGGAGGAGGAGGAGGAGGAGGAGGAGGAGAAAGAGGAGGAGGAGGAGGAGGAGGAGGACGAGGGGGAGCAGGACCTCCCCATCCTCCCTACTCCCCCGTGCTGCTTGTGGTAGGGCAGAGCAGAGCAGAGCGCCGACAATCGTCCCACAGGGGGGACGGCCCACGAGGGGCGCGGCGGGGGCGCCTCAGCGCCTTAGTCCTTGAAGTTGACTGTGGCGTCGTGCCAGCGTTTCCGCGGCGAGAACTGGCCCATCAAGCTTCCTCGCTCCGCACCCTCGGACCGCTGCCGCTGCGGAGCGCCCTCTGCGCACGGCGCCGTGCGGCTGGCCGGCGCCCCCTAGCCCGAGGCGAGCGTGCGCGCCTCCCCGGCCTCGCCTGGCCGGGCTGTCTGCAGCTCCCTGGTGGCGTCGGGTGCGGCGGAGGTCGTCGCAGGAGGGACCTCAAGTTGTGGGAGCAGCAGGATTCGAAAAAACGCGGCAGAGAAAGGATGCGCGATATAGATTCGGACCGAGGTGTTAAATCGAGGTCGGTTCGGGAAGGGTGCCCTGATGTTCTTCGGGTGCGTTGGATGCTCTTGTGCATCCGGGGGAGGGTACCCTTGGATGTTCTGTGTGTTTTGGCCGGCGGAAGGTCTCATGTTCTTGAAACATGTTCTTCTGTTCTAGCTTCGGCTGTAAGGATGCAAGGGCCTTAGACGCGCCAGTCCAGGCTTTTTAGAGC